GTAAAACACATTGATTCGAAAATTGTCTTTCCAGTTTTAATGGCATGTTCTGATTTTTTTTAAGGATATCTTTTAGTCAGCATAATTTTCCAATTAAAACTCATTGTTCAACTCTAGACAGTGAGTTCCTGAAGTGTAAGTAAGGCCATACTGCATACCTGGGTAAGGACCTGGTATGAAGCCCACACCATTTAAAAAAAATGTTGTGTGTGTATTGTCCCTTTAAAAAAAAAAAAAGGTAAAATCATTGTGTGGGGTTCCCTTTAATATTACAAACAGAAATATGTCTAGGCATGCAGCCTGGGTGGCCACGAAAGGGAGGGCAGGAAGCATACATTCCCCCCTCCCTGAACCATACCAGGCCACATTCAAACCTGCCGAAATTCATACTGTGGGTGCAGCTGTCGGCACCCTTCCGCCCGGCATCCCTCAATCAGCTGAATAAAGGGGCCGGCTGGATAATTCACATGCGAACAAAGCTAGCAGCCAATTAGCCGTTCACTGTCAGAATACAATGAAAACAGCAGGGGATTCGTCCATCAATTCTCGTAAGCCTTTATGGAGGAATCTAATTTTTTTGTTCAGCCCGTGGGTTGAGTGAAAAAGATAGAACCGAAAGCTGAATTCTGGGCACAAAGACTTTCATTTAAGTATATTTCTCAATATCCTCAGGGGATATAAGTCTACTTTGTGGCACCAAAGGCTTTGCAAAACCACATATTACCTTGTAAAGTAAAAGTAGCAGTGACATCACTGTGCTGTACATAGTGTGTGCTTAGAGCAGAGCTGTGGGAGGAAACCAGTAGGTCCATCAAGTACAGGCTGCCAGCAGAAAACTACAGAAGCGGCGGATTCAAGACCAGTCACCCTGCACAAGGAAAGTAGCAGTGACTGGTCTTTATTATAGGAAGCTCCTGTACAGAGATAAAGTTTCACACTTGATTACTACACAGGTCTGGAAGAAATACACAAATCACATCAAGATTCTAGTAATAATATAAATGCCTCTTGTATTCAGACAATATTTGTTTATCCCAGAGTGCAGATTTCATTATTATGTAATGCAGTGTGTGTATTGTATTTTATTATATATCCCTGTTTCTGTCTCTGATGAAAATGACATGGCTTACATGACCCTCATTCTGGCTGCTTTGTCTAACATTTGAGACTAGTATATAGTTGCCTTCTATTTTTGTAGGTTTCTGACAAGTTATTTGACAGTTCTTGATTTTTTGTTATAGAATCTGATGTAACATGAATGTCTATGTGAAGAACTCATTACTTTCCCTTTGTCAATATCATGATATTTGGACTTTAGAATTTGTAGCTTGGTTGCCTGGGTAGTGTGCAATGGCTGCTCACTGGAAAGATTCAGGAATATTCTGTTTTGTATGTTGACAGAATATTTGTGAGTCAAAAAACAGCACAGTTATGAAGTCTCGGCTATGTGTTAAGAGTGTCCAGAATAAATATAAAATGGTTTACCATTGGCCTGTGATACTTACGCTTCTACTAGTTCAGCTGAATTGGAACTCAGTATCTTTTGAGATGTCTGACACAGCAGAAACTCGGCATAAATTAAAGATATTTTTGTGAATCAAACCAAACGCATTTTCATCTGTAATATATAAATGGCTAGGTTAGGGGTTTTTTTTATTGTAGTGTCTGCTGTAGGAAGATTTTCTGAAAACATCACAGAAAGTATCAGGAAAATCTCCCCAAAGTCAAGGCAATTCTTAAGAACTGGAATTAGGTTTTACATATTGCATTGTTTCATTATGACATACAATAAAAACCTTTTTTTCAACGGCACTGTCCGTGTTTTTAATTGGATCTTGCCACAAGGGCAAGTACAAGGAGTAGGGGCTACATGCAGTAAAATCTTTATTATCAATTGATGATTGTTAGAGATTGTTCACTATACATACCAGAACGCACTACTCAACCTATATCATTTATTTTTGATATGCATTAACGCATTACAGGTTTTATTGCGAACAACTTGAGAGAAGAGAAGAAAATAAAGAGCTTAATTATAGGAATTAATGAAATTGTGTCACTGCATTGAGGAAGTACATCCTATGGGCATCTCCAATAAGTACGTTTACAAACATCTAGATCAATAAGGTTATTTGAAGTAGGATACAACCTTTGGAAATTCAATAAAACAATACATATTTATGTTTAGCTTTTGACTATAGATACCCTTTAATGAGAACAGGAATGCGTCGGAGATAGCAAAGGATAGCCATTGTTGGTGAGAGGTAAAGTTGACTGTAGTTTGCTACTACCAAATTTATGATAGTGGCCCTCTAATGTGTTTGTTTTTTAACTTATTTATTGTATTTCTATTTTATTTCCTCCTCTTACACTCTTCTAAATCTGATCACACCAGGCTTGCTCACCACCTCTTATTTTTCCTTACTGCAATAAAGCTATGTCATAAACTAGAGCAAAAATCCTTTGTATTAGCAACCAATTATGTTTCAGCTCTCACCAATTTAGAGCAGTTGTCAAGTACGATTCTTTCTCTTTTTGGGTTACTGTCCTTTACATATTGCACTTTGCTATATTAAATGTTTGTTCCGGGAGCTTTATGCTTAAAGTCTAAGGATAATTTTAAGCATTAGTAGGACTTTCAAATAGGAGAAATGTAAAACATGCATTTTGGGGATTTATGCTAGTCTTTTTTGTTCAGCATAAATTGTGCAAATCATCAAATGCAATAGTGTTTATTTTAATTGACTCCTTATCCTTTTTGCTGCAAGGTAAAGAGCAGAAATCTTCAGATCTGTAAGTGCTATTGGTTTTTGAGTTTAATGAACAAAGTCTGGTCTACAGCTTCCAAACCATTAGCAAGTACAAGCTGCTTTGCATATCTTTTGCACAAGGCCTTGCTTGTGAAGCCAAAGCAAATGTTCTCTATCCAGAAGTTCTCTTGCTGGATCATAAAGCAAGTTAATTACCATGCAAAAAGCATTGCTGAGATTTTTATACAGCTCGTCAATGTTGCACCATGCTGTCCTTTCTGCCTTTCATTTATGTGACCCTTTTGCAGCCGTAGGGGCCTACTGTCCACTTATCTATTTTAAACACGTCAGTTTTATATTGCCAGTGAATGTAACAGACTTGACTTTTCTGTCTGCTGGCAAGGGAAATGTAGTACGTTTCAGTACTTCTTTGGGATAATTATGCAAACTAGTAAGGCTTAGTCATTATTTGCATACTTTTTCGTTGCAATTTTGTTCATTGCCCCATGGCTGCTACTTACGTTGTTTCGCATAAATTGAAGCTATTTTTTATAATGTACTAGTTTACTATTTTTTCTAATTCATGGAAAACTTAACATTACTAGAGTAATGGGCTGAGAGCCCTATGCTTGTCACTGAACAATTTCCAACATAGATTCATGTCTAAATTTCATAAGTTTCACAGTATATAGTACTTCACATTTCACAATACTGTAGTAGAAGGCAATCGTCTGCATTTTGCTGAGATAGCTTCTTCGGGAGGAGGGAGGATATTCATAAAAGCCATATGGAAAATATATACACATTAATCAAAGATACAACCTAAGGACGAACTCTGCTCTGTGATGCTGGAGGACCTCCCTCCATCTAGGCCCTGTTTGACTCTCTGTGGGACCACTGCAAATGCGCCGATTGGTGCAAACGCAGTAGGCATTATGCATTATGCTCATTGGTGACGTGATAGGCCACAGTCACGTGCCAACAAATTTTATGTACCATTTTAACGCAAAAGTTTTTGGGGGGGTTTTAAGTAATACAGGCCTTGGATCATACTATTAAAGCCCCACTTTCCATTTCCGATTTGTCTACTATCATGGAAAACTTAGCAGGGCTGTGACTCTAGATTCTGCAGCAGTAAGGGCCATGTCACACTAGCAACTTTGAAGCAGAGATTTTTAGCAAAAATAAAGATATTGAGGATGAACGATAGTTAGAATTTTTTTTTTTTGGGAAACACTGTTCAGTCATTAATTCAGGTTTCTTGAAAGATTCAATGGTTAAATAGTTAGTTTGGCTGTTTTTGAATGTAACTGTTGCTTCCTGCAACTATCTGATGACCAAAACACACATCCCTGCAGTAATGTCCAGTCTTGTTCCCAAAAAAATCCTGACTGCAATTAAAAGTATATATTTCAAACATCATGTCATGATCATACTGCACTTATAGTCACATATTTCCTTATGCACCCTACAAGACTATAAGCTCCATTTATGATAATGATATTTATTTTTAGACGTGTGACTATAATTTTAAATCTCATTGGACTCAGCTGAAAATAATCGCTTTCTTGAAAATAAAGAACCTTATCCTGGTGTTTCAGCTGTGGATTGAGTATTATGCAGGCGCAAAATTATACCTACTCCCAAATCTGTTTTACTACTCCCAAGCCTGACGCCCACAAGCCTCCCTAGACTATCAGCCTCCCAAGCTCTCCCGAGAATTATGATAATCTGTAACCCCCTATACCTCAAAAATCAACAAAATCCCACAACGTTTATCAATTAGTATGTTTTATTTTAAGTAGATTCAGTACATCCACAGAGATACACAGAAAATGGACTATAGTCCTTTTTTTAAGCTGAGCAGTTACCTCAAAAATGCCTCAAAAAAGTAATACTTACATGATCTATTTGGACTTCTTCAATATACTTGAATTGATGTAACATGGTGGAATTTCTTACCATAAAGTTTAATTCTTATATTGGCAGTATTATGGGTGTTATCAGTGTGATAGCATTCTTTTTGGCTTGATAGTTTTAGGGATTAGATTATGTTTAAAGGATTAGCTTAAAGTTTGCCTAAACCTTGTACCACAAATTAAAGTTATGTGTGTGTAAAGTAACAAAAGAGCTCACCATGAATGCCTTTTAGTTATATTATAGTTCAATATTGGAAAACATAATGAAAATGTGTACACACTGAAAGTATACTGGAATTTCCATTAAACAACTACATTTACTTTCTTACAGAGAATTCATTGCCAAAACCAAAACTATCCGAGGACAGTGTTATTGCGCCATTCAATACAAATTATTCAGGGCTTGCTACAGGAAATGGGCTTGTAGAACTACCAGCAGGGTCAAAGGATCATGGAAACATGCCAATTGTGGTACCTTTAATCCCTCCTCCCTTCATGAAACCACCAGCAGGTAAATCTCTCTTTGTGTAAATTCTGCTATTACAAAAATATCTATTTATGCTCATAAGATTGAAAATGATGAATTATACATTACAGTGTACAACCAATAATGACATTCTTCAACATGTTGCAAGTTCCTATTGGCTCTACATTATATTGGCCGGCCTTTCTGACCAATAGGATTATGCATGACAATGTCCTAAATATTGCAGATTACAGTGGCCCAGAATAGCCTTGGGCTGCACACCATGGGGTGAGACTGTTTAGTGCCCTTTCGGGCCCTGGGCAAAGGTGAGTTGACTCCCTGGCCAACTTAATATGTCAGACTCCAATGGCAACTCAACCAGAGGACCATAACATCATAATTTGCCTATGTAATGGCTGTGACAGCTAAGCAACACCGGAGATGCTGATATGGGATATCTCAGCTCTGGAGTGTTAGAAAGATATAACAAAAACAGCATGTGAATCAGCTTACCAGAAAACAGCTAAACCTATTGTATCAGTTTTTGGTGGATTTGCTTTTAAGTTTTTGTTTTTTTTAGAAAGTAGAAGAATTCCTTTGTAAGATACATTACAACATTTATTGTAAGGTAGCTTGATGATAAGGTATCTCTTGTATGTTATCACTTTATGTATTTCCTCTCTTGGTGGGCTCAACGCCAAGACTTTTAGAAAATGGTTTTCTTCTACATGATGAAATCGAAAGCTTTTTTTGGTGATTGGATCCTCTCTTCCTGTGCACCTATATCTTTTTCTTATAACCTCCTATCACTTATGAGGGATACCCATTTCTCATGTTGCATTATTCACACAGTCACAAAGTTACCATTCAGCCTTGTGATGTATTCGATTTCTTTACATGCTCAGCCTCATATCTCAAATATGTGGCTAAATTCTCACACTTGTGTTCAGTTTCTCTCTGGACACTTGCATATCTTGCTGTATCAATTGAGTCTTTGCTAAAGGACATGGCTGTAATTAGCCATTGATTTATATTTTCTTGAAGGAGGCATTCTTGTTTCTTTGCAAGTTTATGAATAAATGCAAAGCAAAATGAAATAAAATAAAACAAAACAATAAACCTTGGTGCCCATCAACTGATACATCTAATACCCATCACCACATAAGTCATTTTGGTGCTTGTATTCTGAAGCTGTGAGGATTTGGTACATGCAGCTAAAATGTGAAGTGTTAGTTGCTGATAAACGTAGTTGCTGATAAACTAATCTAATCAACAGATTGTTTAAATGTGAGTTGGAGGTTAAGAGTTAAAGCCTATCTCCAGGTAAAAAGAAAAAATACCCTTGCAGTAAGGCTACCCCTACAGTAAAATGGTTAACTCTCTATGGCTTGGGGTATGGTCAAGAGGACTTTTACTTACCTGATCCTCATCTTCCCCCAGCAGTTGATGCTCACCTCTCTCCCCTCTGCCCCGGCTTGTGCCTCAGCATTGTATGTGATGACGTCAGCGGGCCTCCAATGGCCGGAGTACAGGGGGGAAGAGGCTGCGGGAGCTGGTCTTGGAGCCAGCAGGAGTCGGGATCAGGTAAGATAAAGTGCTTTATACAGCTACCCTAGACATAAATTAGCAGTTAAAGTAGTAGTAAACTCTCAATTTTTAAAAAATAATGACTCCAGATAAAACAAATATACAGTACATTGCACAGCAAAGTATTTCTTGAAATGTTTGCCCAAGCATTTACAATGATCATTTTTCTGAACACCGGGCTCCAACTCTCCCAGCTTCGCTTCCATGAACTTCCTGTCCAGTACAAAGTCACAAGGGAGAGCAAAGTCCCCAGCAATGGTCCATTTATTAGCTTAGAGAAGGGAGGAAGGAGTGAGGGGCTTAAGGAGTTGTTTTCTTTGCCCTGCTGTGCCTGTGTGTTTGTGAAGACACACAGCTTACTAGCACACACAAGGGTGGCTCCATAGGAACCCTGCAAGGGAAAAGAGTCACCCTAAAACAGGATATCAGGACCAGTGCTCATGGGACCAGCTTGTAAACATCAAGGAGCAGCATCCATTGTAAGGGATTTAATCAGTATTTGAAATACCTTAAACACTTTTGATTTTACTATCACATTAACCTCTGCAGAGGGGTAGCCCCACTTCAGGGGTAGTTTTATATATATTTCTATGTAAGACATACCAATCAATGCAGTAGTCAAGATCATAGATCATAGTCCCCAGCTAACTTTAATCACTCATTTATCGGTTATTAAAGAATACCGTTTTGTTTTTTCCGCTTTAAAACCAAGCTGAAACATTCCTGAGTTTTAATTTCTATAACATTGTAAACAGAGTTGCTGCTTACTGGTGCACCGATCTCTTTTACAGAAACCATACCCACTATCTTATTTTCTATGATTTTATGTACATAATTGGGATGAGCACTTGGTTAAGCATTTCCCAGGAAGTCGACTCCATTTTTAGAGAGGGTGACTAGGAATTCGTTTAGGCAAAGTGCAGTCTTGTAGCTTAAATAATTGACTTTGAGTGTACATAATTTACAGTGGCTACCACATGTTTTTTTGTAAATTATGCACACGTTTGAAAGATGTGTATATTTTCCAGGGATTGGAAGGCTTAGAAGAACAGAGGATTAAAGCACTTAAGTGCTAAATATGCAATAAATGCATACAAGGAAGCTGTTTTACTTACCAAACATTTTATTTATTAGAGGTATTTATATAGCGCCAACAATTTACGCAGCATTTTACATACTGCACATCAGTCCCTACCCTCAAGGAGCTTACAGTCTAAGGTCCCTATCTCACATGCATACACACACATTACAGGGCCAATTTAAGCAGGAGCCAATTAACCTACCAGCATGGAGTGTGGAAGGAAACTTGTGTAAGCACAAAGAGAACATGCACACTCCTTGCAGAGAGTGTCCTGACTGAGATTTGAACAAGGGACCCCCAGTGCTGCAAGAAACAGAAGTGCTAACCACTAAGTCACTGTGCTACCCTAAAAAGGCTGAATAATTAGAATTTCTGTCCATCCAGTCCTGAGATTTATACAGTCCCCACACAGAGCACATTCAAGCGAATTTTATTTCTTTTTTTATTACAGTGCTGACAATTTACACAGCGCTTTTACATATTGTACATTTACATCAGTCCCTGCCCTCAAAGAGTAGAAGAGATGTATTGGTGTCATCTCTTCACCCCCAGCCTGCTAAATGGAGAGTGAAAATAGAGCAGCAGAATGATGAGGTCATCTGTCTGCTCAATCTGTTCCCTTGTATTCTGTCAGCATGTGCCTTTTCAACACATTTGTATGCAACACACTTGACTTCAGGGCCGGATTTACTCTCTCTGCTACCCCTAGGCCATGTTCCTCAATTTACTTTTTGACCTGCAGGCTGCATTCAAGTGATCACAGCGACATCGCTGAGATCACCTGTGCAAAATGAGCAGCGACTTCCCTGCTCTACATTTAGCACTGCTTGCCCGAAGCGGGGCTAAATGTAGAAAAAAAATACACGCCTGGCGCCCGGACCTGTATGTCTCGGGCGATAGAAATTCCACACCCCTGCTGCCACTCTACTTCCTGCCGCCCTGAGGCCCTAGCCTTGGTGGCCTTGTGGGAAATCCGGCCGTGCTTGACTTGCCCTCAGTCTTACCCCTCCCTCTCCCTTAGTAATGTTGTAGTGTAGGGGGTTGTATATATAGATATATATATTTTTATGAATACCTAGCTGCAAGGATTTGTGTCTTTTATATCTGGCCTGCTGTGTAGCTTTACCTCTGCTGGTGCTGGATTTGCCATGGATAAAGGAGAAGCTAGGTCTTGGGCAGAGGTCTTATTAGACTCCTTTGAGGCATGAAACACAACTCCACAAATCCAGAGTCCCGTACCATTTCCTCCTTGTTAATAACACGAATCATTGCAACAAATACTACATATAATTTAATATACATGTGAACACAAAAATGCTTTCTAGCTAATAAACACAAGGAGCATGTGAGTAAAAATAGTATATATATATGAAATATGGTACAATACCTCCACAGTAAAAAGAATCCAGCCTCACACCACTTGTCATGCTGAAAACCTCTTTGATTCAGGCTTGCACAGCTTGGCTCAGTCCCACCCTTGGTCCGCCCTTGTAATGCATTTCGCCTAAGCAATGGATAGGGTAAAAGGCGTTAGCGGAGCGGACAAAGTGCACAACTGAGCCGAGCTGTGCAAGTCTGAATAAAAAAGGTTTTCAGCGAGCACCCGTTTTTCTTCCTGTGAAGTAGTGTTGCAACGTGTTGAATTTGTCTATGATACAACAGTAAATACATGTCTTCCTTCTGCATGGTTCATTTACAGCAACCAAGAGATTTAAACGAGCTACCTTTCTCAACGCATTTCATGCAAGTGTAATTTTGTTGTGAAGCGAAGCTTTAACTCTTCTTATAAAATGCTTCCTCTTATTATAGCATTGTACTGCCACAATATACATATACAGCAGGCATGAGAGCTGTGCAATGATGATGCATCCATTGGTACAATGAATAGGAAAGAGACAGTTCATTTCTGCTTCCCCTATGGTAGACTACTGGGTTGAGGTCAAAGACAGAGAAACAGAAACTTCCACTATTGCAGTTGATTCTATAGCTACATGCCATGTGCATTTTTAAAATCATTGTAAAAAAACAAATTCAAATGTGGGCTTTACAGATTTTTGTAGTTTTTACTAATAACATAACAAACTGCACCAAAATCCTAACTAATAACAAAACATGTCTTGGTATGACCTTAGGCAAGGCTGGTCACAACATATAAGCATTGTTACTTTTTATCCTGCTTTACGACACAATAAAAAACGTATCACCGTGGACGTTTCCAGTGAGTGACAGACTGTTTACATTATAACCTGCACCGAAACCTTAACTATAAAATAATACAATTCTAGTCCCTGTAGTATAAAAATGCCTTTTTTTTATTTCATTCCCCAAAAACACAGTAAAAGGGAATGTGTTTCTTCCTCCCTATTTGCATAGAGCACCCCTGGCAACAGCGAACAGCTGTCAGCAAAAGAGATGGATGAGATGGATGAAAAGGTCAAAAAAATAAAACGCAAGCATTTTTACAGCAAACTGCTAGAGCACTATGTCGATAGATTCTGTTGTGTATTGAATAGGAGAAATATTGATTAATGGTTTACCTTTAATATTAATATACCTTTTCTTTTTGTTTATTAATTGTTTATTCCATTTTTGACATTCATAAATTAACAACAACATAATACACATCTTATAACTTTCCCATATATCTACATAAACATATAGCCTTCATTCATCCCTCTCCTCCTTGCCATATCTCCATCCGTCTTGCCACCGATCTGGACAAACGGGAAGGGAGTTCTATTTCCTTCCTCAGTGTTTATACCCATTTCATCCCATCTGTATCCACCTTATACCTCTGAGGGACACGGTGTATTCTACTTCAACTATCTTTATGTGCCCCAGTGTAAAAACACACCCCCCTCCCCTCCCCCCTCTCCATTCCCTATGTGTTTGTTGTGCTAGTAACTAACTAATATACCTTTTCTAACGCCAACTTTACAATTGGAATACGTTTAAATTTAGCTATATTCTGCTTATATTTTTAAGGAAGTAGTTTTTGTAAGAATTGCTACATTTGATATCGCTGTTTAGGCATGTCATATACTTTTTTTTTAAATGTGTCAAAAGGTGTTAACCCCTTCGTGACTGACGACGTACAGTGTACGTCGCCAGCATCGGGGCTGTAATTATTATTTATCACCCTGCAAGTTCAAAAAATACCTGTTGATCAGCTACAAATGCACTCAGCTCTTAATTTGCTCTTGTTGAATAATGCCACATGGCTTTATGTGGACTAACGGAGACTTGGCGGCATTCAGATATTCACTCACTGCCGTTCGGCCCCTATGGGAATAGGGGCGAATTACAGTGAGTGAGCTGCAGGAGCTTCGGCTCAGCCGATCCAAATGTTGGATCGGCTGAATCGAAGTCCTTCTGCACTTCAGATCAGTCGAAGTGCAGCCAAGGCAGCCGATGTATGGCTGATTTCAACCGATTTGTTTGGCTGAAATCTACAGTACCATATTTGTAGCTATATCATAAAGCCATCAAGTAATTGCTCATTTATTCCTTTACCAGATTGTAGTGCAGTGAGTTACCGTGCTGCCAAATAAGTATGGCCTATTCCTCTTATCGCCCTTATACTTTTGGCTCCACTTGTACATTCATAACTCCTGTTTTGAGTTTTCCCCTTCCTCTCCCCCAATATTAGTTCTTCCTGAAACCACCTGTCAATACTGCATCTCCATATTTGTATTGCTTGTCTCTATTCTCTAAATATCTCTCACTGCAACCACATTTTCCTCCCAGTATTGTTTTTTTTTACCTTTGCTTTTCCCTTAGTACCGTTTGTATCCTATATTCTCCTTTTTTTTTTTACAAATATCATTCATACGTTTACATTTGTATTCATGTAAACTCAGAATGACTTTGACAAATGTAAAAATAGCACAGTGAATTAAGTGATTTTATTTAACTTACATTGCATTAACGGTTATTAAAAAAAACGTTTTTTACATCACCTTAGCATATTATGCAGTAATAATGTACTGTATATTATAGATTAATACATAAAATGCAAATGTCTAAGTTCTTGTATGTTAGAATTGTATAAAAGCTATGTTCAGATTTCTATTTTATTTCTTTTAATTTAATGTCTTGCTTTTTACAATGATTTGTAAAGTAATCATGTATTAGAGAAATATGATGGCTGCCTTTGCTGAGCAAAGAAGGTACTACTTGCTAGGATGCTGGGTTGCTGAAGATGCTAATTGCTTGGCTGTTATAAAAAATGATTTCAGTTTTTGGTCTGCTTTTATTTTTTATTATTTATGGGTTTTTTGGGTTGTTGTTTTTTTTACAGTTAATATGTTTTTCTGTGTAATATATACATATACATACATATACATACATGCATACATACATACTGTACAACAGGGGTGCCCACAAGGTCGATCGCTATCTACCAGTCGATCGCGTAGCGATCACTGGTAGATCGCCATGTCCTCTCCTCCCGCCGCTTCTCTGGATCCCCGCTGCTCTCGCCAGAAGTGAAGGAACCGGCGGCGGGGGAGGGCGGTGGAGGACAGAGCCGCTGTCACCGAACTAATGCAGAGCAGTGAGGAGAGAGAGAGACGCTCGGCCAGGATCTGACAGCCTGCACCTCTCTCTCCCCTCACTGCTCGTCCGTTCTATCACAGCGGCTCGGGCACCCCCCCCCTTCCCCGCGGCTCGCTCGTCGTATCCCCCTCTGCCCGGGAGAGCAGGGGGATCCAGAGAAGTTGCAGCCCCCCCTTCTGAGTGGACGAGCGGCAGAGGATCGGTACATGTCACTAGTATGTACCAATCCTCTGTGTAGGACAAAAACTGGAGCGATCGGCTGATCACTCCAGTGTTTGTAAATAACTGGGGACACAGTACTATGTGTCCCCAGTTATAAATGAATGAACAGGATGTGATTTACATTTTGCATCACGTCCACAACATATACAATCTTTGGTTTGGGGGGAGCACAGCAGATGCTGCCTGCTTTGCAACTCTATTTGTTTGATTCAAACTTTGGACTGAGCTATCTGATAATAGAAACATCCCAGCAGTGAATTGTTCACTTTTATGTGTAAATTTCAAGTTGAGCTGTCAGGTTCTGTAAACAATCAAAGAAACAAAGGGGGAGCCTGGATAACATTAAAAGAAGCCTAAAACTCTGCTGGCTCAAAAGGAGAATGCAAAATACTGTATTAATAACCTTTGTATTTACCTGACTCATAAAAAAAGAAAACAAAAAAACATTTATAAAAAAGAGTTCTGATCATAATAAGTAAACACAAATTATGTATAAATCCACTATGTATTTCCTTTAATACTTTAATTACTGACCCAGGAGACGTAAATCTTTATCTGCATACTTATAGGTTAGTGACTCAAAGTAGTGGTGAAATAGGGTCAACATGAAAGTCAGGTAACTGTCATTTTCAGATGAAGAAGTAAGAAGTGGTGGTGTATGGGGGGGGGGCATGTAATCTCCAGCCATGTGAAAGTGCTTAGGTCTAGCTACCAATCGAGGGAATGAGATCGCCACTTCCCCTAGCATCCAACACCAGCCGACAATGGGGATTTTTGTTAATGGCTGCAATAATGGAAAGAGTGGTGGTGGAAGGCTCCCTCACTTTTCTCTGAATGGGCAAGGTGGCAGTGTCTTTTTAGATTAAGTTAGCTATAAATGTTATTTGCATTTTTACCAAATCTGAGTTAAAATTCAGATCTAACTTACTACCTGAGGAAACCTTAATTCGTTTTTTTCCCCTTTACATTATAGAGGAAGATGTGTCAAATGTGCAAATCATGTGTGCCTGGTGCCAGAAAGTGGGGATTAAGCGGTACTCCCTCAGTATGGGGAGTGAGTTGAAGAGCTTCTGTAGTGAGAAGTGCTTTGCATCATGCAGAAGAGCATACTTCAAGAGAAATAAGGTAAGACATTGCAGACACAAACATTGCTTCCTCAAGGTTTTGCCGATATCAGCACTTTAAGGACACTAGTCACCTTAGCTGGCTATCTGTGTGCTTGTGTGCTGGGTGACTGGTCTCCTCAATCGCCCCCTTTAACACTGCTTGGTGTGGCTACATGAGGTACCATGCCCTGCAGTCTCTTCCCGTCACAGTTGGAAGCTAAAGATTGGGAAGCTGTGTAAAGCCAGGTGATGATGTCAGATGGACTTCAGGAAGATTATCTCCCAACAGGTAAAAGATAAGTTAAAAACCAAAATGAAAACAGGTTCTCTAAAAGTGTGTGTGGGGGGGGGGGGGGGGGGACGACTAACATAATAAAAATAAATACTTACCTGGAGATGGGCTTTAATTACACTTCCAATTAATATATTTGGTAGTTCAGATACAAGTCAGTGGATCACAATGAGTATCTGATATGAATAAAAATGCACTGTAACTATAAATGCATAACTTTTTCATTTTATATATTCATTTATGTTTTTTTATCATTGCTACATAGCATAAAGTGGACACGTGGGCCCCATTTAAAAAGCTTAAGCCTAATGTGATTGGAGCCATATTAGTGCATGTGCAAGAATTAGTTGAGTACTGTCCATGATAATTTTTTATCTGCACTAACAGTTACATTTTCAAGACAAGCTTTCGGGGTGATTCGTTCTTCTCGGTCCAAGCAGTACTTTGCTTTGCTAATAATTAGTATTCATCATTTGCCTACACGCTATCATATCCCCGGTAGAGGGGTGTAACTAGAAATCACGGCCCTATAGCCAGGGAGCTTGAGTTAAAGGATAAGTGTACATTGTGTAACAGTATACTTCATGAGGGAGCGCAGAATAGGGAATATACAGCGTCCCAGCATGAGGCAGTGTTGAATAGTGATTTACAGCATGGCATAGCCGATGAGGCCTTGAGAAACCATCATTGTTCAGGATGGCATTCATAAGCAGGGGCAGAATAGGGAATGTACAGCATGGTTAATGGAATGATCCAGTGTGGAAAAGTTATTTTATAGCATGGCGTATGGGATGAGGTGGTCTGGAATAGTGATTGTACTACATAGCATACAGGATGAGGTGGTGTGGAATAGTAATTGTACAGCATTGCATATGAAATGGGTCAGTGTAGAAAAGGGAATGTACAGCATGGAATACAAAAGGAGCCAGTATAGAATTGTGAATGTACAGCATGGAATACAGAAGGAGCCAGTATGGAATTGTGAATGTACAGCATGGAATATAGAAAGAGCCATTATGGAATTGTGAATATACAGCATGGAATATAGAAAGAGCCAGTATGGAATTGGAAATGTACAGCATGGCATATGAAATGAGCTGCTGCAGAATAGTGAGTTTACAACATGGCATACGGAATGTACTAGCAGAGCACCTTAAGGGCCCATTTACACCATCACACTGCGGTAATGTAAGGTTGGTGTGATGTGTTTCCATTAATTCTGAATGGCTCCCCAATAGACCTTGTCAACAGACAAGTGTTGTATAACACAGCAACACATTTGATTGGCTAACTTTAGCTATTAACCTTTTTTCTGCTGCCAACATGATAATTACATCAGCAGCAGTGCCGGGAAACAGAAACAGACTTCAGGCAACAGTTTGTAAATGTTTTTACTCCCGGCTGTTAGCTATGTAGTGAAAGTGATTTGGGCAGCTCTTAGCCTGCACTCAAACCTGAGTGACATGAAATATAGCATGTTTTTGCAAATTTTTTGTAAGCAGAACTGCACACATTTATGTAAATGGCCGAACGTGCGTAAAACACTCGTAAAAATGTGTAAAAACACAGCAAACACGTGTTTTTGAGTGTTTCCATTGAAGTCTATGGGGCCAAGAAGCGCATGGATCTACCAAAAAGAAGCTCATATACTCTTTTCAAGCGACGAGCGTTTTGCTTCAAGCGACAAGATATGACAGATATGAACATGGCCATAGAAATAAATGGGGGTTTTTTTTGGTGCATCTTTGTAGCATTTTTTCAGGCAGTAAAAGCGCTAAAAAATGCTCAGTGTGAGGGCTAATGCATCTTCATTTTTGCCTATGAGTGAAGGTGCTGCCTCCCGCCTGACGTGGGTCCCCCATTGCAGGCGGCAGGTTGGAGAACAACAGGAGCCCTCCAAAAAAATGCAAAGGCTGGTCATTTTTTTCGTCTGGACACAATCAACAGAGAGTTCCCAATTGGAACCTCTATCTATGACACTTTTTACCCACAAGGCTGGGCTTAATCATAGAACTTCTACGATTTAGCCCAACCTTGTGAAACACGTCAGAGGTGGAGATCCTGGGCAGAGACTCTCTGTTCATGTCCAGATAAATAAAGTTGCCAGCATTTGAATCTTCTTTGGAGTGCAGCCATTTTTTTTTGTCCAGTCTGTGGTGCATAGGACGAGCCATGGCTGCTGTCCAGCACCCAATCTTCCATGAGGGTGATCCAATTTAGGGCTTGGGAGCAGTGTACCCTACACTTTTTTCTGGGTCACTTTTGCGGACTCCCGCCAGTACAACTGCACTCCTGTGTTGGCCAAAGCTTCAGCTAGCATTTATTATCAACTTGTAGTTTAGGACTTAGCTGAAGGTTTCTCTAGCACTTGTCCCTGACAAACTGAAGGTTAAACTTATTTCCCTGTCTGATGTTATTATAACTGACACAACATCATTGCCTGACCTTTAGGTTTTACTCAGTCAGAAAAAGAACCAAGGAAATGTTGCTTCCATTGATGAAGCTAAAGCCTAAGGCCCTCTTAGAGATACTGAGCTGAGCACCCTGGCCCTATGGGAGAATAAAGAACTGAGTTCCATGTTTGAAAATAGCAGATATCAACATTATTAAAGGGCCCCTGAACCTAGTATGCAACTCTATTTATATAAATGAGAAAAAAATATTTCCAAACAAATATAGAAATGTAGGAACTGTTAAGATCATATATAGAGCTATGTGTGTCTTTTATGTAGAATTCAGTACTTCTAACAAGAAAAGGATCTACCATGACAAAGTGTGTTGGTGTAGCTGTTTGCATAAATTGCAATACTAGTATGATGGTGTGCTTTTTAAGGTTGATCAAATAGTTTTAAATAAATAAACAGATATTTTGGGGCCAATGGTATTATTCCATTATTTAATTAAAAAAATAAATTGTAACACTATTGAAGGAATTTATCAAAACTGGAGCAAACAGAATTTGGAGCAGTCACCCATGCCAACCAATCAGCTTCAGCGCCATGGTCAACTGCTCCAGATTCTGCCTACTCCAGTTTTGATAAATCCCCCCCTATATATCTAACCAACTACAGATGCTCAATAATGGAGACTTCTAATGTCAACAAAGTTGTCAATGTTTTAGGTTGTATACAGTTCACTCTCTGGTTAGGTTGCTAGTCATTCAAACTTTGCGTTTCTGATCAAGAGGTGTTGAGATAGATAGGTAGATAGGTAGATAGATAGATAGATAGATAAATAGATAGATAGATAGATAGATAGATAGATAGATAGATAGATAGATAGATAGATAGATAGATCAAACATAATTAAAACAGACTTTAGCACAGCAAGCTTTTGTACTTTTCACAGTGAATAAATATTCATTTTGAAATCTGTATAGTATGCACTTAGCAAGATCATTAAGTAGAGTAATTCTACCACTCACACACTCGTGTTTTATTCTAAAAGCAATCTGGCCTCTTTATGGTGTGAACAATTACTCTGACATATACCTGCAGCCTTCTGCGCTGGAATTAATGTA